ATTTCACGAACGCACATCGCGGCAGAACTCTCGATACCATCCACACCATCTAGATGATTGGCGGTCCACCACTGTTTGATTTAGAAGATGTTTTCTTCCTCGCACGACTTCCTTGTGGAATCGATTACCTTCAGCGATTTTTCCGGACCCATACGACTTAGGGACCTTCAAGAAAAGGGCGTACTCCTTTTTAAAAGGCCGGCATCGCATGTGCAATTCCCTCCCTGGTGTTGCAGTTGTTCATGGGTGGCGGTAGTCACTTACCATCAGATGAGCCGCATGCTCGTTTGCCCCCTCTCCTATAAAAAAAAACCTCAAAAATTAATTGGATTTTTACCATGATAGTTCTAAAATAATTAAAAAATGTTCATATAACATTTTCCTGGAAATGAGCCTACCTGCCTTTTGTTGGACTTTAATTCAAATGTAAAAATTCCCAGGTGACTCTACCGATAAACTTAAAAAAAAACTCCCCAAGAATCAGATCGGAAAGTTTTATTTTCGAGTTATGATCTTTGGAGAAAAATATTAACTGCCATATACAGCTTCCACGGAATTCCTTTTTTAACATATTGTTAATATAAATAGGTAGATACTTAACTAAGTGTATACCTATTTATATTTAATAAATAGTTATGATAGGGCAATAAAAAACGGGGACACAGTGTACATAATTGCTTCTTTATTTTTCATATATGTATTACTTTTGATAATTACAAATATTTAATAATGAAATACATTATAGAAGTTTATTTTACATTCAACTTAAATGCGAACTAATTTTAGTAAGGATGCTTGTAGGAATGAGTTAAATAAGATTGTTCTGTTTATGGCCAATATGTTTATGATACTTAAAAGTATAAAGTAATAATAAACTTATTATCATTTTAGATAAATGAATTAAAAAAAAAATAATGACCTTAACAGAGTAAAGTGCACCAGGTGTCTGAGGATACAGATGCACTCTCTATTATTTCAATCTCGGTATGTCATGAAAATGGTCACTCATTCATATACAAACCGCAGCAAGTGCAACTTAATCTCGATCTATTGATGATCTATTGATCCGCGCAGCTATAACTTATCATAGTGGAGTCAATCCCTAGCGTACATATAAAATTGCGTGCCGAATTGCGCCGACCTGTAATATAAAATCGATTACAGAGTCATGAGATTTGGTATCCTTTTCTATCTTGCATTTTTGCCATAAGGAATTTTCTTCTCCCTTGCACAATATGTCGGTCTATACGCCAGTATATTCTAAGTCTATGCTCTATCCCTAGACTCTATTTCACATAGCAGTGCAGAATCGTCATCGGCTACGAATATCTAGTAGGTTGATAGCACAGAGCACAGACTAATATGATGCTGACGCATGGTTGATAGTTAGGTCATGTTCGTCGCGCAGCAGAATGGATATGATTTTATAATATCGAAATTAATCATAGACATTACCTCTATCTACGAAATTAATACGTTTTTGATACTCTATACTCAACCAAAGTTAAGAAATACGTTTGAGTTTTGGCGGGAACTTGACCGGCGACGGATTGCTGTCCTGTATTGTTTAAATAGTGGTTTGAAGTGGATTTTGATATTTAAAAGTGATGCGATTTTGTGTATTAAATGTCTGCGCATGTGAACTATTAGTGGAAACGGTGAAACAAGTGCTCTGATGGTGATGTGATTCTCAAGATAAGCTGTCTGTCTGCATGGGCGCCTTGAGATACCATCGCCAACTGTCAGCTGTCTGCTGGCTCAAGTTGCCGCCAAAATCTCCCAAGGGCTGCACAATGTGACGCATCGACATATTGTGAAGCAGTGTACTATGAAGGATAATTATACATTGTAACTTCAGGCTCAGAAGGGCTAGAACCCAGAGCCGTAAAGCCAGTTATTAAGAAAAGAAGAAATACGTTTTGACAGCAGTCAGACTTATTGGACTAGGCATGCCAACCAAAAAATCGGTATGTACAATATTCGATTTTTTAGAAAAATCGATATCAATTCTTTCGATTTGGTAATCATTTACAGTTTTGTTTCGATTAATACCAGAATAAATTAGAAACGGATAATTTAAAACACAAGAATTATTAGTTTCTTCGTATTTATTATTACTTCTTATATTTAGAGGCAAAATTGTATAATTTGAAATTAGATAAAAATAAATATATTCAATCACTTTCACTACAACTAGTTGAGCTGTCGTTATTTAGATTAATTATTATTGGATTTTCAATAATGTATCAAAATTAATGTTCTTTCAAAGTTATCCATAATAATTTTCTTTGTTTTCTCCACCACTTTTGTCCAATTGTTCTTTGTGACATGAGTATATGCTTCATTCAGCAAACCTTCCATTTTCTTTACAAAGCATAAGATATTTCCATTTCGTGTGTGATAAGTATAGTTAATAATATGTTTGTATTAAGAGCATTTCATATAAGAACTAGCCTTTGATTTGGGACAAAATCAATTCAATAGTATTATAACGGCAGTGGTATAGTGGTAGTCTTGTGATATTTGCAGGAATATTTTGTAAAATGGTTGTAAACCACTCATTTTTACCGACTTCTAAAAAGAGATGGTACTCAATTCGACTATATGTTCTTTTTTTCTTATGAACGAAGTTCCTTATCGGACGGTACGTATTTGGCGGATGGGGGTTAGGCGAGAAAAAGTGTAAGATTTTTCCGTCACGGCCCCTTCTGATGCAGTGTCAAACGCTCACGCTTTTTCTTATCTTGTCATGACAGAAATATTATTTTATTATAAACTAGTCGTTCACCGTGACTTCACTCACGTGTTAGGGTTTTTATGTTTTTGCACGGCATCTTAATTCTTTTTTTTAATTAAAGTAGCATATATTATTCCTTATGAAATATGCTATCTGCCAGTGAAAGTCCCGTCAAAATCGGTCCAACCGTTTCGGAGATTAGCTGGAACAAATAGACAGATAGACAGACGGACAAAAATTTTAAAAATTGTATTTTAGTTATAAGTACCGTATTTACTTTCATATGCATTTAGTAAAAAACTGTAATTTTGACATTACAAACAGACACTCCAATTTTATTTATTTGTATAGATGACGCTTCATTTTAATAGATGCTAGTAATTCACTTATTTGAATTTGTTAATCAATAATATATTACGTTTATAAATAATAAAATACTACGAAATGAACTTTGTTCTACCGAGTGTTCTACGACACTCACGCATCTTTTTTTATGTGTGTTACATCATAACTTTTATCTGGGTAAACCGATTTCGATGATTCTTTTTTATTTGAAAGCTGGTGTTTCTCATGTAGTCCCATATAAATTTGATCAAGGTCTGACTAATATAATTTGACGGTTCCGTGGCGGAGTGGCTTAGCAATGAGTAATTACGCTGGGGGCCGCGGGTTTGAATCCCGCACGGAACAAGTATTTTTATGGCCTACAAATAATTGTTCCGGGTCTGGATGTTTGTCCTCGTGCAATTTATGTTTGTAAACTGCCTTCACGATACAAGAGAAATCCTATGGGGTAACGTTTTTTAAGCGTACAACAGTTTTAAGCGTACAACAGTAATAGTTTTTGAGTTATTCTTAATAATTTAAGAATTTGAAGTCAGTTGTACAACATTTTTAATTTTTAATTATAATTATTTTGCATCCATTTCCTCATCGTATTCTCTTGTACTCTTCGATTAGACAGCTAATAAACAACTTTTTACAAATCTTCCTCCAACGGATCCCACATCACCTTTTCCCATGGGTACCTTTTAAACACTATATAAACCGCCATCTACAAAACTTTCTTGCAACTAAGCTGCAGTAGGATATTCTTATTTAGATAATATCATAAATAGTAATATGAGATATTATTGTTTATGATATTCCTATGTATATAACTTGTCAAGGTTAACGAATATAATAGAATCAGTCCAAAAAGTTATAGCCGAGTCACAAAATAAGGTAAACACAAAATCAAAAGTACGCACAGTAAGCTCCCGAAATGACAAGAGATTAGAATTACGTAGTGTTTTTTTCAGCGCGGCTTTGCATATGAATTTCTTTGCCTACACAGGTTTACACTGACAAAGTAGGTAGTTATAAAATAAATAAACTTGTTTAACTCGTGATTCATACAATTTAAGCAATTCTAAAAATAAAATATAAATAAATAAATAATAAATTAAATCACTTCAAGATTCGATTAATTGAACATTTTAACCGATTATTTGAACATTTTTACCGATTATTCGTATAACAATGAATTTTAATCATTCAAACACTACGGTAAGATACATAGCGATATATCATTGAAACAACGTCAGGCAAAAAAGTTCTGGTTATTTTTAAAAGACTGGTTATTTATTTGTATTTTGCTTTTTCTGAAAGATTCGAACTTGAATTAGTTATAAATAACTATATAATATGTTGTAATGAAATATAGATAACTACATAATTCTTTGGATTTACGATAAAAGGTTATTTTAAATCTTGTGAGTACGCTTGTACAAAGTTATTGCGGAATGATTAATGCGAAACGTCAAAACGTATTTCTTATTAGATTTGGTTGAGTATAAACTAAATATCGAATGTCGATATCTCTATATCGATTTTATGAGAAAATATCGATATTTTTTCCCAATCCCAATCCTAATTCATTTTTCAATAGAATATGAATACAAATTACAAATGTAATATATCAAATTAGGTAGGTACACGACTGCAAATAAATTGTAGTTGTAGTCTAGATGACTTGATGTGAATGTAATAAAATAATATAAGTTACGAATACTTATAATTTAGAGTTGTACCGTATTAGATCTAAACCAGCTGATGTTTACAATCGCATATCATTAAAGTCGCTCGAGCTTTGTTGGGTAGGCAGCGGTCAAGCTTTGACCTTCTCAAGGTGACCGATATCGAATCAGCATCTCAGTTGATCAGTCGGGCTTTGGCAGTCGGAGGGAATTGAATTGTAGACGCAAAACTTAATTTAACCAAAATGAGCGTACAAACGGACTCGGAGAAGCGTAAGCAAATATCTGTTCGTGGTATTGTAGCCGTAGAAAATGTTGCTGAAGTGAAGAAGGCTTTTAATCGTCATGTGCATTATACGTTGGTTAAGGACCGGAATGTCGCGACTCCAAGAGATTATTACTTTGCCCTTGCACATACTGTTCGAGATCATCTTGTCTCACGTTGGATAAGAACCCAGCAGTACTACTATGAAAAGGATCCCAAGGTAAATATCATAATTACATATGGTGTCTTTAAAATTTTGATATAACATTCAGTTATTATTAATTTTTGATTGAGAATGATGAGATGAGATGTAGAAAGTTGATGGTTGAATGGTATTCCTTGGGGGACACCTAGGTTCAGCAGTGGACATGTCATGGACTGTAATGATGCTGATATTGATTGTAATTTTTTTAATGTGAAAATGTAACATTAAAAAATTAGACATATTTTTATTAAGAACCACCAAAAAAGAGCTTACATGTGAGTTGAATATTTGAGTTATTATAATAATAGATCAAAGAGGTTTTGTTGTTTGCTACTTAAAAAATTGTAGGATTATAAATTTCAACCTATACATATTTAAGTAAATTCAAAAGTTCTTGTATATTTTAAGAAATATTTAAAATTTCATCAATTAGTTAAATTATTACAGCCTACTAAAAGGTCACTGCTGAACATAGATTACCTCATAAGGAAAATAATTATCATAGTTGCCACCCTTGCGCTTCGCAACTGCAACTTTTTATTATTTTTCCTCTCCTGATTCATTTACCTTTGTCACCTCTTAGAAAATCATTTGGATGATATAGGGCAGTATGGTATGGATTACCTTATACTGCCACTACACAGCATTCAAATACGAGGGTGGATTGAAAAGTACTCGGCCTAACACAGATCCATTCAATTCTAAAAATCAAATCTATCCACATTATTTAGTTCAGTTCAGACTAGTTCATTGTGTGAAGTTCGAAACGTGTGCGATAATTAGTTGTGATTTTATAAATTTATTAACAAAGTAATCGGACATAATTTCCGCGAATGGAGCAAATCGAGCAGCGTGCCGTCATTAAGTACCTCCTTAAGAAGGGGCTATCATCAAAAGCCATCCATGATGACATGGTCAGTACATTAGGCGATTGTGCTCTGTCATATTCATCCGTCAAAAAATGGATAGCAGAATTTAAGCGTGGTAGAGAGAGTGTGAAAGATGAACCCCGCTCTGGAAGGCCTTCGACGTCAACTACTGACGAAAATATTAAAAAAGTACTTGATTTAATAATGGGAGACCGCAGATTAAAAATTAGAGAGATAGCCGAGATTATAGGCATCTCTTATGAATGAACTCAAAACATCATTGTCAACGAGTTGGGTTTCCACAAGGTGTCTGCGAGGTGGGTTCCGCGACTGCTTTCAGTTGAACAAAAAAGGACACGATTGACTATTTCACGCGACTGTTTGGAGTTATTTGAAGCCGATGCAGATGATTTTTTGAATCGTTTTGTTACTATGGACGAAACATGGGTTCATTACTGTACACCGGAAACAAAACAACAATCAAAACAGTGGAGAAGACCTGGTTCACCACCCCCTAAAAAGGCTAAGTCGATTTTGTCGGCAAATAAGGTGATGGCTTCAGTATTCTGGGACTCGAAAGGTGTGATTATGATTGATTATCTTGAAAGGGGTCAGAATATAAACTCTGATTACTACTGCACCTTACTACGTCGTTTACGAGAGGAAATAAAAGAAAAACGTCGAGGAATGCTCAGAAGAAAAGTCCTGTTTCATCAAGATAACGCCCGTGTTCACACGTCAGTACAGTCAATGGCTGAAATTCACAACTGTGGCTTTGAACTGTTACCGCATCCGCCGTATTCACCTGATCTGGCACCATCAGACTTCTTTCTGTTCCCTAACCTAAAAAAGCACTTGGGAGGTCAAAGATTTTCGACAAACGACGAGGTCAAAGCAGCTGTAGACGCATATTTTGACTCTAAGGAAGAATCATTTTTTTTCAATGGTCTAAATGCTTGGAAGGGGAGGTGGCAAAAGTGTATTGAACTTGATGGTGATTATGTAGAAAAATAAAAATATAACTGATTTAGTATTTGTTTATTTTCTTGGTTAGGCCGAGTACTTTTCAATCCACCCTCGTAACATGATGATAACATTTAGCATTAATGTTCTATGATTTCCATATTTATTTTTAAATTTTTGTAAACAACTGTGTTTATCAAACTTCTGTTTTTATATATATATATTTTTTTTCAACAGAGAGTGTACTACCTTTCGTTGGAATATTACATGGGCCGTTCTCTTCAGAATACTATGATAAATCTGGGTATCCAGGGCACAGTTGATGAGGCTTTGTATCAGTTGGGTTTAGACATTGAAGAGTTAGAAGAATTGGAAGAAGATGCTGGTCTTGGTAATGGTGGTCTGGGACGTTTGGCTGCCTGTTTTCTTGACTCCATGGCCACACTTGGATTAGCGGCATATGGTTATGGTATGTGTATTTATAATATTCCATTAGTAAATTAAGATATAATTTTTCTCATGTTTTAGCTTTTTAAATCTTTGTTAGATATAAACCTTTTCAAGAATTAACCAATATGACTTGAAACATGCTATACTCACCATGATAAACAGATGACCACCACGAGAAACTTATACATGGTAGAGCCATGCTGCAGCTATATTAGTAGTATAGTTGTAGCATGAATGGGTCGGCTCGACCGGGGAAGTACCGCGCTCTCACAGAATACCAGTGTAAAATAGCAGTTTATCACTGCTGTGTTTCGTATGGTGAGTGTAGAGAACCGGAGACCCTTTTTACTGGAAAAGAGGCATTCCAACTTAGTCCTCACGGGGTACAACACATCTGCATTTGATTCACTAACGAGGATAAATGTAGATGTCTGAGTCACAGCAACCACTTACCATCGGGTGGACTGTGTGCTTATTTGTCACCCTATTCCTATAAAAAAAATGTATTAGTGAGTCCAATGCTGATACCCCTGTGTTGGTAATGTTGCTTCTGGTTTGTTAATATGGATTCAGTATTTTCAACTGAATGATGGATATTAAACTTTCCAAATAGCAGATTTATCCATTGTTCAACTGTTATTGTGAATCACTGTATTAGCAAAGAGCAATGGCTGACTTTCATACATAAAATTAGTTGAGAAGAAATGGTAGCATCTATATATCAAAAATATCTTAAAATGTTAAGCTTCTGTCCCTTAATAACTCTGTCAAAGAATTTAGTCCTGAGAAGGCGTCAAAAAAAAAATATTTACATTTGAACCTTTTTAGGTTATGTCCTATGTCACTTGGAAAGAGTCATGGTTCCTGTGATTGTTTGATGTTAACTTAATACATAATACATATTTGAGAGTTTTTAGATTATTGTATCTCTATTATATATTTGCATACTATAAATGTATATTTATGGCATGGCTCCAAGGCCTTTGTATCATAGTGACAATCTCAGAAGGGCTAGAACCCAGAGCCGTAAAGCCAGTAAAAAAACAGTGACATTTTGTTGTAGCTAGTGTTGGCATAACATTAAATGGAATTGTTACATAGTACTATGATTGAGATAATGTATTATTGTAGGAAATTCTTTGTAAGAGACTTATTCTCAGCCATATCTCTTTTATTTTTATTATTACTGATAGTACAGTTATTACTAATAATAACTTAATATAAAAATATTTTGTGTGTTGTGTTGGTAGTCTTATAATGTATATACGAAAATAGTATGAATATACTAAATGGCAACACTTGAACAGAGTAAAATGATTTAAGTCATTTGATATTCCCAAAAATGTTTGTTTTTTTCTGTGGCTTTAATTAAAATACATTTTTATTTGAAAAATCATAGAAAAATAATAAAATTCATTTTATATATAACTTATTTCTAGACGTGATAACTATTGTCAACTATTTTTCTGCCATTGCTCTTTACTTACCACTACTGTGTTATATATGAATACCAATATTCTTCATTTAGTAAACAAACAATCTATATCGACACCCTTGAGCAAAAAGTCTGTAATTGTAAAACTTTAATTATACAGGAAAAATGATTTACCCTTTTTGTGGTATAACTCAGGAACATGGTGAAATATTAAAGTGACTGATGTATCAAATCTGAATCTGATTCTGATGTTAGCGTTGAGTTAAATTGTTTTAAATGTAAGCAATATGAGAAAATATTAATTACTGAAAATGTACTAACAATGTGTTTCAGTATTATTAACTGACAGGATCATGTGGTAAATTTTGCAAAAGTCATGTTATAGTAACATTACACTACTGACTTATTGGACCATTATTATATTTAAGAGGCAAAATTTATTGTACTATAACAAAGTTATTTCTGTACTTAAAAATAGATTGGACAATGGCAAAGACATAGAACTCTGTTTTTGCTGTAAAAATCAAAATATTATATTTTCTAAGTAATTGTTATATACTTTACTGAGAGATATTATAGTGTAAAAAGTGTGTTTTAACAAAAATCTCAAATGGTTACAAGATCGAAAAAGGGGCGTATTAAACATAGTTTTCATTGTTATTCTCATTACATCATTCATCATTCATCACAGCCAAGCAAGTCTAAATGGGGATATTTGCCATAGTTCTCACGCATGGCAGACGGGTTGACAACCGCTGTTTTTTTTTATTATTTTGAGTTGTTATCAGGATGACGCTGATGTCCCTCTCCTGTTTTATTTTCCTTTATCGCCTTTTATGACACCCACCAGGTAATAACATCAGTTTCGAAAAATTTGTGCATTATAGAAATCCCAAATAATGTAGTAAAATAAAAAACAGCATGTAGAGGCACATATCAAAATGTATGTACTTATTTTTTTCTGGCCATTAGCAGCAAAAAATAAAAAAAAGGAAAATTTGTTAATACAGTAATACCCCGGACTTACGCGATAGGTGGGACCAAGTGATAGCCGTGTAAGTCGTAATCGCGTCAGCCGGGGTTGAATTTTGCATATAAATACGTATAAAGTTTGTAAAATCGGGACCAGAGTCTAAAGAAAACGATAATTTAGAAGAATCATGTTTAATAAAATGTTAGATAATGAAAACAAAAACAATTTGCATTACTATGAATAAAACAATATAAACCGAAGTTATTTTGATGTCGAAGGCTTCATATATTCTAACAATGTTGCCTGACGAGTTAAGTTTTTCTTCTTGTCAAGTAAAATTTCCTCATAGCACGCCAGTAACTTTTTACTTGTTAGGTTCAAATGACTCATTTTTTGATCTTTTGACTCTGCACTACATACGTGCAATAATTCCACGAGGAACACGTCCGATCTTGTCGTAAACACAAATGTGTATTGTGTACGTAAAGTAATTCCACGCGTAACACAGTCGAACTTTTCGTAAACCGAACACCCCCCTGTATATAATGTACTCTGTGCCGAACACTGACAGAGCGAAGTAGGCAAATGAAAAACCGCGTATCTCCGAATTCGCGTAAAACGGGGTAGCGTAAGTCGAGGTATGACTGTACCTGTTTCATTTTCAGTTTTAAAAAAGATTAACTAGCAACACACTATTTTCATTACTTTATAGTGTATTTCATTACTTTATAGTTATACAATTCTTTATACATTTTTAATGAGTCAAAAGTATTTGAATTCGGGATTTTTCAAACTTTTAAACATTCATAAATTCAAAAATATTAACTTTATTGTAAAAAGCCATGGGACCTTTTTTATTCGCAATTCATCAAAGAATATCAAGAAAAATATCTTTTATGTTTTATTCTTTTTGATTTAGCTGATATTTTTTTTGTTTAAAAAATATCTTTTATGTTTTATTCTTCTTTAAATTTTTTGTACCTACCTTAATCAACCCATAAAAATTCACTTATCTCTCAACCTTAATGTTTGCCCCTATTGCTAGTGTAGGTATTTTACGTGTGGGATAAAAGAGACGTTCATACCGCTACTATCTATTGCTGATAAAGATTTATTGCATAAGTAAGAGTGTAAGTTGAACAACCGCTCTCTAAACTAATATTAGATAAACTCCTTATGTGTTTCCGACTAATTCATTCATTCATTTATGACAGCCTATTAAAGTCCATTGCTGGACAAATTGCCTCATAAGGAGGATTTTGCCATAATTGCCACGCTTGGCAGGCGCGTTGTCAACTGCAACTTTTAATTTTAATTATATTTAATAAAGGAGACAATTTCTTTTTGTAGCGAGAATGGGCCCACTACAAATTATAGCGACACTTAATGAAATGTATGTCGATTTATTCCTTATAAGCAAAGATTACAATAGTAATACTTTTACCGATACTGCATCTAACGGGAGTACTCAGAAAGTAACAATTAAAATATGAATCTGAGAATAACTTTAAAAAACTAAAAGCGATGGTTTGTCTGTTTTCGTCGGTATTATAAGTTAAAATAGTGCACTTTTCAATAATTAATAGTATAAAACAAAGATGTAGGTACATTCAGTATTTATATGAATTTTAAAACCCAGGGAAAATCCTTTTAGTAGTTCCGGCAAAATATAGTGGATAGACAGACAAATGTGGTATGGACACAATTGTTTACATGTATTGCTCGATTGTGAGTATACATCGCAAATTCTATTAAAGTAATTAAAGAAATATGATTAAAGCCATGATGAGGGATAATATTATGTCCATTTATAATATTACCTACACACGCCATATAGTAAGAAAAATGTATTAAAAGTAGAACAGACAGATAAATTAAAAATTTGGTTGATTATTAAGTACTTATTACATCGTAAATAACATTAAACGGTGATAAATATTAACCAAGACTTTTTAAACTGATTGTGTAAGGATGAAAAAAACTATGTTTAATGTCACTGTATTTATTATTATTGATCATCATCATAAAGCAGCACTGACAGGCGCAGAGTGTGAACTTTGTTTTAAAATGTCTTCACTGAGTAGTTATCATACCCCAAACACCATTAAAGTCAAAATGACAAGGTAATATCATGTTTATCTATGTTATTACACACTAGATAAATAGTGAGGAAGTAAGATGTTTTAAACTGCTTGTGAGGATAATAAAAACACGTATTATACGTCATTGCATTTATAATTTAATTGTAGTCGTTATTGTCAATCATCGTCTTTTTAAAAGATTTTTTTTCTTAACAGTATCACAGACAGACATGTGGGTTGTTTACGTTGTTTACATTTGTATTGCTAGATTAGTAAGTAAAAATCCCAAATATTCAAAATAATTTGATGATAACATGTCTATTTATGACATTGTTAGAAATCAGAAGGACATTTTCAGTGATAAAATATATGAGATAAGACTGTTGTCATCAATATCTATAGACTGTGTGGGGACATTGTTTATATTTGTATTGATTGAATAGTAAGTAGTAGCTCTGCAAGATTTGTTCCAAGCGATCCACCTAAAAAAGGTAATAAATATTGTAAAGTGTGCCTATACTAAATAATAA